GAACAGAGAGCAACATCTTCTAAACCCTTTCAACCACAATAGAAATTCCCTTACAACCATAGTATAAAAGAGAGACAAGATACAAATACTACCACTATTTTTTAATTTTTCTAGTGCTCCTCCGAGCTGCATGGAGACTTTGTGTCACACTAGATGGTGGCAAGAGGCTTTGACTTGGAGGTGCTAGTGTGCTTGAGCTTGGTGCAGTGGGGGTCCCCAAATGAAAATTAGGACTCGGGAGTGTGAAGGAAGTAGACAGATGATCAATGTCATCAACATGTAGGCTTGCATCTAATTCCATCAAAGCATCCATATCATTCTCGAGGTAGTCATCCTCAGGATGAGCATACCAAATATTGTATTTGGTCTCGTAGTCTACCTGTAATGAACATAAACTAATGATTCAGGTCGATCTACGTTTAATCGGTTCCTTTTTACACTGTGGATATAGCTTAAAGTGCTCCATCATTATTTTGCACAAGAAGAATTAACACTTTGCGACACAACATCTTTACCGCTAATGAATACAACTCTAGAGCCCCTCCTCCATATAAATCCCACTATGAAACTGTGGACATCGTGCCCCTGTTAGCTGTTGACGCTGGGCGAAAAAACACCTCTATTGTCAACAAAATCACTAATTTATTACTGCACATTAGCTCCTTTTATTTCATCTAAAATCAACATATCAAGAGGTTTATGGTAACAAGACGACACCTCGCTGTCGTGATGGAGCTTCACCATGTTCTCCCTTGCAAGTGTGGGTGTAGACAACCACTCTCAAGTGTAATACTTGGAACTCAAAAGAAATGTCAGACATTGGAATGGAAAATTTATCGGGTCCCATCGAACCATAACCACGTTTCTCACTCTTTGGTTCAGCTTGGGATCACCATACAGGGCCACACTTATCTCCCCCAACATAATATTCATCATTTCATATGCAACGCCCACAATAGCCATGTAGCTATCAGCAAACTTTATCATCTTCCATATTGGTCTTATGAACCTCAAGACTTTCTTGTTGGTCGTTCAAAAAGAGTCATCCATGATTACCCTGCGAACTTCATCATGCTCAGTATCTCTTGGGCCTTGCTTAAGACCCTGCCAATACTCTTCCAACATGAGGGACATTAAGGACAACCCATCAACCGTCGCAACATGCTGTAGTGACATCCAAATCTAGTCTTTCTAGATTTGAGAAGCGCAAGGTCTGAGATAGTCCTAAATATATACAAACATCTACTTTGATTGCGAATGTTCTTGACTATCCTCTTCGCCTCCTTACAATGATTTCTAACAAAAGAAAAAAAACGGTTCTTCCTTTGTTTGTCCACAATATCAGTTATAGGAAGGCATAATGTGCGAGCCAAGCAATCTCACAAAAAATATGAGGATGGCGGCATTGTATCAATGTCCCAGCACCCCTGCAATTAGCAACATTGCTAGTTACAACCTGAACCACATTATAAGGTCCAATTTTATCGATGGCACTTGAGAATATCTGCAATATTTTGACTAGTTTCCTCAATTTTCGAGCAATCATAACCATTCACACACATGGCTTTTCCACCAGCCATTATGTTAATAAGGGATTCATTTTTATAGTACTCCATCCATCAGAAACAACTAACGGTCCATAAGTTGCCAACTCATTCTTCAGAGATCCCAATTCCTGAACAATCATGTTTCTCTTTATCAAGCAAAGTTGTCCAAATCTTCTCATATTTGGGTGTTCGGAGCATGAATTATTACATATACCATTTCTTGGAACCTGGGTCCCTTCGCAATATCAAATAGGATGCCATGGGCATAACATCAGCATGTTATAGTAGCATCGACATCCTCCCATGCACGAATATTGAACATAGATAAGACTTTGCCCTTTCCCTTTCTAGAAGTGCTCAATGTTTGTGATACTGCACTCGATGATTGCAATATTGATGAGAATAAGTTTGGATCCAATCCGGATACTCCCTCACTAATTTTCCTTTTCTTATTCCCAAATAATCATCGTGCCTCAGACTCTTCAACTTTAAGGCATCCCGCTCAATTAAAATTGTATACCCACTTTTATCCACCACCACCACCACCCTTGGATTCCCCGCAGACTATTGTCACATATCTCCATAGAGGAGTACCCGTGAGTTCTTTGCCCTCCTCTTCTTCTTTTCCATCTAACACTATTGTGTTGTCCGTGCCAAACATAT